AGTGCTGGGATTGCAGTAGAGTCCCCATTTCTATCTTTCTATCTGAAACCTTTTGAGACTGACATTTACTCTTCACATTTCTCTCATAATTTTGGTCCTCTCAGCATTCAGTATTGCCTATTAAGCTTCCAACTAGATATAATCTAGTTGGCTCCTCCAAAACTTTCTGAATTCCTTCCTCCCACTAATCAATTCCAAAATATTCTAAACCACATCACATTTTTGTGCAGTCATAGCAATAACCTCACTTCTCAGTGCTTTTTTTTTGTTAGTTTGTCATTACCATGACAAAATATTTCAGAAAAATAGTTTAAGGATGGTAGGTTTATATGCTTTACAATTTCGGAGGTGTCAGTCCATGATACGCTGGCTCTATTTCTGTGGGTCTGTGGTCAGGCAGTACACCATAGCAAGAACAAATGGTAGAGCAAAACTTCTCACTTTGTGGTAGAGAGGCAAAGAGATATAGAGAAAGGGTGGGGTCCCTGCTCCCCACAGGGCCCATCTTTTAAAGTTTTCACTACCTCCCAACAGTGCTACAAGGTTGTGATCAAGACTTTCACATTTATGCTTTTGGACCATTCCAGACACAAACTACAGCGCTGCTAGAGAAGGAAGATGGGTGGATATCAATGAGGAACATTGACATCTTTCGTCACCATAGCAACAATGTACAGAGACAGAAATAAGAATCTGAAGATGTACTCAGAAATATTTATTCCTGGGCCAGGGATTTAGCTCTGTGGTGCCGCCCCCTGCCTTGCAACAGCAAGGTCCTGAGTTCAATCCCTGGTACAAAAACAAACAAACAAACAAAAAAAACTATTTTCTTTGAATCTAAATATCCAAAATTACAGCTTTGATCATTGTTATAGTATTTTGAGAAAATAATTTTGCTATTTTTATGCTAAATCAACTTTTGTGAATTGAAAACAACTTGTCAAAATGCATAAGTGTCAAACATATGCATTATATATGAACAAACGTGCATTAAACTGAAGCAACTTGTTTTTCTCTTGATACTATAAAATTTCTGGTAGTTTTTCTTAATACTGTAATTTTTAAGCTAATTTAAAATTGACTTTTGCAAGAGCTCTGGTATTGCTAAGGATGAATTGTATTGCTCTTGTATTACTAAGTGTAAAAGTAATTTTCTATCTTTTAAATTGTAATTTTTCCAGATTTTTTAAGAAAATAAGAGGAAAATATTTAGCAGTAGTATTTACAGATTTATTTACTGTAAATACAAACTATAAAGCCAAGTTTTCATTTTGGTGAGTCTGAACATACATTACTTTTTTAATTTAACAAGTGCAATATACAAATTAAGACCTAACAGAAAACATACTTAGCCATTTGTTTTTTGCTTGCTACTATCAAGAATAATTTAATAAACTGGGAGTGGTGGCACACAACTGTAATTCCAGCACTTGGGAGGCTGAGGCAGGAGGATCGTTTTGAGTTTGAGACCAGCCTGGGCAACACAGTGAGTTCCAGAGAAGCCTGAACTACATAGTGAGACCCTGTCTCAAACAACCAAAAAAAGAGAATAATTTAATATAAAATTTTGCATTCATAAAGATTCAAAGTATAATCAAAATAACTAAATCATTATAATACTTTTCAAGATCACTGTTGAAAAGAGAAAATATTTTGATTAGTATGGTCACTTTCTTCTGGAAGAAGGAGCAGAGACATTGACAAGTAGCCTAACTTGACTCTTACAGAAGCTCCAGATGAAATTTGAATGGAACAAAGCAAAAACAGAGAAGAAAAAAAATCAAGAACTTTAAAAAAACAGTATTTATTAGCCTTAATGAACAAACAGCTAAAAGAAGGAAGAGAATAAGCCAATTATAGTTTAGTGATTTGTTAAATAAATTAATGAAATACTAATAAAATCCATATAATTTTTGTCTAAGAAAATGAGGTATATATTAGTTGTGTGTTTTTACTTGATCACAGAAAAAAAGTCAGTGTCACCTCCATCTTCTGCCTTTCATAAACTAATAATGTGTGTAGCATCACATGTGTCTGTATAAGAAGAACATTATTATATTTAGAGAAAAAGAAATTTCAGCAGAAGTGCTAATGATCCTTTGTCATAATTTTACTTTATGATCTGAAATCCCTGCCATGGTCATGGTGCCTTTAGAAAATCTGATCACCTGGCACAGGTCACTGCACTTCTCTGACCGAAGCATCAGCAATACATAAACTTTGAGACTAGGAGTATTCTCACAATAATGCCAAGAAAACCTATTATTGAGCGTATCAGTTCAATTCCATTCCTCCTCAGGGCTATTTGCCGTGTAACTGGAGAAGCAAAATGAAAGATAATGTACTTTACATGATGGAAACAAAACTAACAATCCAACAGACTGAAATGGCTCAGGTAACTGTCTATTCCAAGATTTCAACCCCTAAAAAATTATTTCTGAATCATCCGCTTGAAGGACATCTACTTAATTTTAGCTATATGCAATCACCTCACAAGACAATTTATTTAGGCTTTGTGTAGTTCCACTAAGTGGAAGGTTCTCTTTTCATTAGAGTTAATAGTATATAAAAGTAGTTAAGAGCAATGGTCCTGGAGTAAAACTTTCTGAGTTTAAATCAAGGTTCTACAATTTATTAGCACCGTATTGTTTATGTTACCTTTCTAGTTTTCAAGCCACTCAAGGTGTAAAAAAAGGATAAACTATGTTTTGTTTCTGGGACTGTTTTGAAGACTTATTGTATTTTTTATAACTATTGACTGCTCCTTTCTTGCAATTCTTTTATTTTTATTTCTTTATATTTACAACATTTAATTTTCCTCCCCTGCTTATTTCCTTTCTTCTCACTATCTTTCTTCTCTAAACATCCATTGAATTTCCATTCGTAAATCCTGGCAGTGGGCATTCTGTTCTATATATATATATATATAAGTAAATATATTATATATGACTATATTTAAATATATGTATATAATGTAAATGCATTATACATATGCACCTAGAGCAAGATAGCCAGCGAAATCATCACCATTAAATGTTACATCCTTAGTTCAAATTACACACGAGTGTCCTCACAAATATCTCTAGGCCACTTCTCTGTAATACATTAACTTTCTCTTGTTTTCCCTCTCCTAGTGAAAGGAATTAGCCAGGTAATACCATTTCAGGACCTTATTCTCTCTTTTTAATTAAGCCTAATGACCTACAGAGTCTCCTTTCTTAATTACTCTTTCATGCTTTCACTTCTCTTGTTTTCTTCTACAACTGTCCTTCTTCTAGGATTATGCTAATTTTACCTGAACAATTGGAAAAACTTCCAAATAAATTTCCTCCACATTCTTGATTTCCGAATGTTTACTATCTATGCAGTATTCAGGAGTATCTTGCTCATTAGATTATATCCATGAAGTCATTTCTCTGTCTCTACCTCTTAAGTAAATCCCTGTACCCTCAAATCCCTTCACATGGAGCCATATCAACCCCTGGTATATACCCAGTTTTGCACATTTCTTTCCTGTTAATTTCCCAGATATTCCTTTTGTCTCATCTATATGAAACTGTTTCTATTTCCCTGGAAATGACTACTATTAGGAAAGCAGAGGATACTGCACTATTTTCTTCTTTCTGTACCTACTGTCTACCACACAACATACACATTTATTTGTTAGATGGCCAAATAAAGCACATTATTAGTGTGTATGGTGTATGTGTGTGTTCATCATCCACTGAAGTTGTATTTCTCTTCTTCCGGTCATATTTATGTGCATATTACTCTGTGCATATCATTTCCTTTGTGGTACTGACCTGCACTTTCATGATTCATTTCCTGAACTCAACCCTCATATTTTAAGAACCATGAAGACTAACCTTGTTTTTTCACCAATAAAATGTAAAGTATATAGAAAGTGACTGTAAAAATGTATAACAATGGTACCTCATTTATGAACTCAAATTGTTTGACAATTTAGAGGAAGATGGCTGCATTTGTGTTTGTGTGGAGAAGTGTTTGTCACTCAATATGGAATTTGTGAATGGAAACCAAATTTTGGGGAATGCTTTGCTTGCTAACTGAATTGTTTGCAAAAGCATTTATGAACTGAGGTATTACTGTATTTTTAGAAGTTGAAGAATAAAACCATACAGAAGTGTGGGAGTCCTCTGGCATTTGACATTGGAAAAGTAACTTCTTCTACCATTGAGGCATTGACACAATCTATGATTCTATTTGGCTTTTCTGAGATGAGGGTCTCAGCTATGCAGATGAGATTGACCTGGAGCTCACTGTAATCCAGACTGGTTTTATGGGATTACGGGTGTGCACCACCATGCCCGCCTCAAGGACTTTGTTAAATTTGACCTTGTGATGGGAGGAACTCAGATAGCCAAAGATCTGATCTCCTCCCTAATATTGCTTGATGCTTCCTGTTGGCCTGCCTTTAAAAGGAGCTGTTTCTGTGTAATAAATCGGACCTCTTGTCTCCACACTATTGAGTGTGCTGTCCTTTCTTAATCCTCACTCCCCAGCTCAGTTACTTTCTTGTTGTGACGGCTGGACTGCCACAAGTGGCACCTGAACGTGGGGCCTGGGTATCGAAGGATCCAGTGAAGGACACCGCAGAGAAGGAGGCCTCAACGAAAAGGTAAGGAGTGGTGAATTTTCTTGTAAATATTAAAAATGGGAGCTAGCATTAGTTACATGTTTTTTGTACATATTTTTAAAAATGTATTGAGTATAGAGGAACCTGAATCTTATGATGAAAGTGGAACTATTGTTCCCACGGCTCCTCCAGAGCCCCTAGGCCCTGAGGAAGAAGCTGCTAAATGTGAAAATGTATGGCAGCCTTCAATGGCAGCAGCCCATAATACTAAGGATTCACAAAAAGTTCAGCTAGAAGACAGGATGGAAAAAATAGAAAAAGTGATGGAAAAAATAGAAAAATGATGGAAAATCTGTCACAACAAATAGAAGCTCAATGGACTAGTCATAAACTTCCTAAACACATGCCTAGCCCAGTGGCAGATCTTAATCCTTCTCCTTGTGACATTCGGTTAGAAAAGGAACCTTCTTTGATTGCTTTGGCTTTAGGACCTTTTGAAGGCTGGAAGCCTGTGAGAGTAAACTCCCAACTCCTTAAGTCTCCAGTTCAACAGGGTTTACAACAAGCCCTTAAAGAAGGTGAGGATGTATCTGCATTTTCTCTGGCCTACCCAGTTTTTGAGGCTCAGGATGTTCAAGGAAGCATTGTTCGTCAACATGCTCCAATTCCTTTTCAGCAATTAAAAGAATTAAAAATGGCTTGCGCCCAATATGGGCCGACTGCCCCTTTTACTTTAGCGGTGCTAGATTCTCTTGCAACTGAGGCCTTGCCACCTTCTGATTGGAAACAGATTGCTAAGGCTTGCCTAGCTGGAGGAGATTATTTGTTATGGAAATCTGAATATTCAGAACAATGCCAGAAAGTAGCAGATCTTAATAGACAGCAAGGAGAACTTAGTGTAATTTATGAGAAGCTAGCAGGAGAGGGAATTTATGCTGAGGTTACTCAGCAATTAGGTTTTCCCCCAGGTGTGTATGCTCAGATTAATACTGCTGCTAAGAATGCTTGGAAAAACTTCCTTCATCTGGATGAGCGTCAGAAGATATTTCTAAAATCAGACAAGGGCCGGATGAACCTTTTCAAAATTTTTTAGATCGTTTGTTACAAACTGCCAGGAGAGTCATAGGAGAATCTGAAGCTGGTATAGTTTTAGTAAAACAATTGGCCTATGAGAATGCTAATTCTGCCTGCCAAGCTGCCCTTCGCCCTTTTAGAAAGAAGGCTGATTTATCAGATTATGTTCGCTTGTGTGCAGATATAGGTCCTTCTTACACTCAAGGCCTTGCCATGGCTGCAGCTTTACAAGGAAAAACTGTAAAAGAGGTTTTATATCAACAACATAGCAGGGGCCCTCCAAAAAAGGGAAATAATGGAAATTGCTTTGGCTGTGGTCAGGCAGGACATTTAATACGAGACTGCCCACAACATAAAAAAAATGGATCTTTTTCAAAGCCTCCTAAAGAACGTGGTTTATGTCCTAAATGTAAAAGAGGAAAACATTGGGCCAATGAATGCAGATCTAAAAAAGATATTATGGGTAATCCTATCCAGTCAAATGGATGGAGGGGCCAGCCTCAGGCCCTGTATCAAATTTTGGGGGCATTTCAGAATCCGAAACCTCAGATCATCCCTCAAAATCAGTCAAAAAATCTGTTCAGGACTTATCCCGAGCCACCTTAGGCAGTGCAGGATTGGACCTCAGTTCCTCCTCCTATGCAGTATTAACCCCTGAAATGGGAATGCAAGCCCTATGCACTGGAGTTTTTGGGCCACTACCTAAAGATACTTTGGGTCTCTTGTTGGGTAGGAGTTCCTCTACTATGAAAGGGCTTATGATTTCCCCAGGAATTATTGATGAGAACTATACTGGAGAAATTAAAATTATGGTTTCCTCACCTTCTCAAATCTGTTATTCAGCCTGGACAGCGTATAGCTCAACTGATTCTTTTACCCAGGATAGTTACCTCAGGAAAATATAAAAAAGCCATTAGAGGGAATAAAGGTTTTGGGTCCTCAGATGTTTATTGGGTACAGTCTATTGGAGCCAATAGGCCAGAGATAAAATTAATTCAAGGAAAATCTTTTATTGGGTTATTAGATATTGGTGCTGATGTCTCTGTTATAACTGCTGACCAGTGGCCTTCCACATGGCCTTTGCAGGAGACTGTCTCTCAATTACAAGGCATTGGTCAAAGTAAAAATCCTAAACAAAGTACTGATATGTTAAATTGGAGTGATTCTACAGGACATTGTGGGACTTTTCAGCCTTATGTCAATCCTGGCCTCCCGGTTAATTTATGGGGAAGAGATGTCATGCAACAGATGGGAGTTTTATTTATATAGCCCTAATCAAAAGGTCTATAAGAATGGCCATTCAGCAGCAGAAAGATTTTGGCATCCACAAGGTTTTCCATATGCCTTGGTAAAATTCAGAGATCCTTTAACTAGCCAATGGTATGGACCTGACCCCATTTCAATATGGGGCCGAGGATATGTTTGTGTTTTCTTGCAGGAACATGATGGAGCTTGATGGCTACTGGAAAGGCTGATTCGACCTGTGCATACTCCTGCTGATGTCAGTTCCTCCAAGATATGATGCCAATCCTCAAGGACATTGGACTTATATGCCAGATCCTCTCCTTGCACATCCTGTCTCATCTGATTCACGTGAAGTGCCAGTACTGGTGAATAATACAAATATACTTGGTCATTTATAAAGTAATGTTTCTATGTTATAAAGAAAATGAGATTGCTACATTGAGAAGTTTTTCTGGGACAAAAAGGACATTCCTCAATCTTTAACCAACACTACATCAAAGAGTTCATCTGCTGGTCTTAGCCTTTCTTCTGGACTTTGGTGGACAGATTCACATTTTCCTCAAATCAACATTTGAAAACTTGCTGCTGCATTGGGAGAAATATGTTTATGGTCAGATGTCAAAGTTACTAGCCTTAGTTTCAATATTGTTGGCATAGGTGCCTCTAATATAATGTCTTGTGTTAACGCTCCCTATATGTTATTTGTAAAAAGTATAGAGATTGTAAATGGAACTGATAATGAATATGACAACAGCTGTTTTAATTGTAAATTGACCAATTGTATATTCTCAGAGATGATGACTCCCTTTCATTCTGTGATAGTTTTGAGACAACCTCCCTTGGTAATGATGCCTGTAAAAACTTAATGAGTCCTGGTATGAACATCAAGGTTTAAAAATATTGATAGAGGTAGAGAAAGCTATATGTCGAGCCTTTACAACCCATGGTATAACCCCTGCAGATGGCTGGTAGTCAAAGACGGGTAAGAGAATTGTGGAGAAATACCAACCTAAGACAGAGCATGAGTATTAAACTTCTCATGGCTTGATGATGGGTAAGGGATTTCTCTGGACATTTTTCACCTAAGACAGGCACAGTCTTTCTGCTGAGCTGGGAAGCTCCCTGCTCTAAATATAATAAAAAAGGGGGAATTGTGGGAGCCCACAGGCATTTGACATTGGAAAAGTAACTTCTACCATTGAGGCATTGACACAATCTATGACTCTATTTGGCTTTTCTGAGATGAGGGTCTCAGCTATGCAGATGAGATTGACCTGGAGCTCACTGTGTAATCCAGGCTGGGTTTATGGGATTATCCAGGCTGGGTTTATGGTATTACCAGTGTTGACCTGGAGCTTACTGTAATCCAGACTGGTTTTATGGGATTACGGGCGTGCACCACCACGCCCGGCTCAAGGACTTTGTTAAGTTTGACCTTGTGATGGGAGGAACTCAGATAGCCAAAGATCTGATCTCCTCCCTAATATTGCTTGATGCTTCCTGTTGGCCTGCCTTTAAAAGGAGCTGTTTCTGTGTAATAAATTGGACCTCTTGTCTCCACACTATTGAGTGTGCTGTCCTTTCTCAATCCTCACTCCCCAAATCAGGTACATTCGTGTTGTGATGGCTGGACCGCCACACAGAAGAGAAATTTAATTGCTCAAGTTTTATCCCAATACATAACATCTACATCTTTCCTGAATATAACTAAATAGGGCATGGCTTCATTCTCTTGTTATAAAAATATATGCCTTCACACAAATGTTGCTCTTTGGATGATGCTCTTTGAAAGTTCCATAAGCACCGATAATCAAAGAACCTAACTGCAATAGTGTTCACAAAGAAATTATTGCATTGAAATTATATTTGGAAACTTTGGTATATTATTTTATTGTTCAATTTGTCTTTATGTTTTTTAAAATTTATAGATCACCTCATGATATCCACTAGGAAAAATCCATACCTTATCCATTCTATCTCAGTTCCTAATACAAATTTTCTCTCTCTATGGGTGTCCACAATCACACAAAGCAAACCTTATTTATGACGTTTTGACCCATCAAACTTAATATATTTGCATTATTTTTGTAAATTTTGCTTCAACCATGCTGACATTTGCTTTATGGAAAAATTTTCACACAGACACTGTATTTCTCACAAAATTCTTATCTGAGAACAAAGTAAAATTTTTCATATAGATAGAGCTATATTATTCTAGATTACAGCTGTGTGTATGTGTGCTTTATTGTAAAGCCATGTTTTATACATTCTTAGCACATAGAAGTATTTTTTCTATCACTTGTTATAGCAAGTCTTGGTGTTTACAAGTATCCACAGAATTAATTGTATTTTCTAGTTCTCTTGCAGTCTGGTAGGACTGAATTCTACTAATGAAAAATTAGCAAACCAGAATTGTATCATTTTCATGACTTTTTCTTTTTAAGGCTAAAGGTGTAGGGAAGTGGGAAGGGTAGGGAAAAGGACATAAGGGAAAAGAAAAAATATGAGAAGACCAAAAAATGGAAACAAAGTCTTTGTAAATAGGGAAGGGTGAAGGGGGTAAACTGAGGGCAGTGGAATAGGGAAAAAATAAGAACCAAGATATATCACATAAAGGTACAAGATCCCAGTGATGAATGCAACTGTATGATATACCTAAAAACTACCAATAAACTCAATGAGAAAACAAAATAAAATAAATATCTCAGTGATGCTTCTCCTACTTGTTTTTTGCCTCATCTCTCAGCCAGATGCAATAAATCTTGCCAAGAACCTGCTAGTATAAGGGTATCCTGGGCACCTGTACACCTTGAACACTACCCCTGCCATATAGTCTTTTGGCTTATATTTGAATGAAGAAGTGATCTTCCTTTTTTAATAAACGGGATTGGTTTGTTTTAAGAACAGCAATTGTTATTTTCATTAAATAACATATTTTCCAAATACCATCTTACAATGTTGCATCCCAAAAAGAATTTAGTAACTGAGCCATTCTGTTTCTTCCCATTTATATAATTTCTTTCTAACTTCATTATGGTCAGAATATTTAATACTTTATATGTCTATTATTTCACATCAGTTTTCTTCAATAAAATACTCCTGAGGCAAAAAGCAGGATTTATAATTCTGTAAACTGAAAGACATCCTAAATCCAACTGATAACAACTGCTAGGTCTCTAAATCCCTTATTATGAATGTTTTTTCATAGCACACTTCTTGGTTTTACTTTCTCAGTGAAATCTGTCACGTCACCTGGCTGTTTCTCAATTCTCTCACCTTTAGTTTCTTGTATTTCTGCCTTTCTTCTGCTCCCATCCACACACACTACCAACCTTGGTCTATCTAATCACATTTTCCATCTTTTGGGCTGCTGAGTCTTCCTGGAGAAAATTACATAACTCTGCCAAAGGTGGCAGATTTATAGTTTTCAATTTCAGCCAAACCGCTAAAATTGCTTGTCATTCTTTTCACTCAAGTGACTTTGGGTTTGATAGCCTTGACCTATTCAGTGGTGTGAATACAGTTCTCTCGTCCACAGCACCTTGTATTATTCTTGATTGTCAGAGAGAGCCATTTGCACACACTCAGTGGTGAATTTATGAACTGCACTCCCCACACTGTGTTACCCGGTCACTCTCTGCTGTTTCTGCTTCCTCTTGTTCTCACTAGCTTTCACACAGTTGCTTGTGTAAGCCTCCTCAATGCCAATGGTCAGTTTGAAATGTCAGCATCCCTTCCAGAGAGGCTGTCACACAAAGCTCAATGCATTTCTTTTCTCTGTGGATCCACATGATATGGAGCATCTTAAAAGAAATTAAAGTTTCAATTAGGTCATGTAAGTAGTGACTAGGTCTTCAATATAAGATTATTGCAAGCATAACCATTTATAAAGCCATACAAAATCACGTTGCCATATTCAAAGAAGGTAAAATATAATGACTTCTTTTTTTCCAAGCATATGTGTAAATACACAGGTACACATAATAGGTCAGGAGCTCCCTATTAAAGATAGAATATCTTTGTCCTTTTTTGTTCTTATTTCAAGGATTGGTCCTAGCATATTTAAACAACACTTAATTTATAAGTAATAATTATAACAATCTAAACATAGGTTTTTTTATTGAGTTTATTGGTACAGTCTAGGTGTACAATACAATTCCATTCATTAATGGGATCCTGTACCGTCACATGACAGGTCTTGGTTCTCATTTTTTCCCCTTGTCCCTGCCTTCCCTTCACCCCTCCTCCCCTCCCCATTTAAAAACTCTTTATTTCCATTTTTAAATTTTCTCATATTTTTTATTTTCCTTTATTTCCTTTCCCCTACCCTTCCCACTTTCCCTACACCTTTAGCCCTTTTC